CCCCAGCCCCCCGTACTGGGCACGTAGATCTCGGCCCGCTGCTCGTCCGGCAGCTCGCTCCAGTTGCGCTTGGCCGTGGCCACCACCGGCTTCTTCACCAGGAACGCGCGCGGCATGGCCGGGAGCGCCGGATCCCGGCCCTGGGTGATGGATCCTGATTGATCCCGATGGATCCTGATTGATTCTGATGGATCCCGATGTATTCTGATTGTTCCTGATGGATCCGGATTGATCCCGCTGGATCCTGATTGATCCCGCTGGATCCTGATTGATTCTGATGGATCCCGATGGATCCCGATGGATCCTGATTGATCCTGATTGATCCCGATGTACCCCACTGGTTCCTGGTGGATACTGGTTGATCCCGATGGATTCTGATGGATCCCGACGTAGCCTGATGGATCCTGATGGATCCCTGATCCCAATTGTTCCCCCACTTGATCCCAGTGGATTCTGATGGAATCTGATTGATCCTGATGGATCCCGATTGATCCTGATAGATCCCAATGGATCCTGATAGATCCCGGTGGAATCGGATGGATTCCGATGGTTCCCCTGATCCCAGTGGATCCTGATAGATCCTAATGGATCCCGGTGGATTCTGATGGATCCTGCTTGATCCTGGTTGATCCCACTGGATCCCCCAATCCCGCCCTAATGGATCCCCTGTGGATCCTCAGTCAGGCTCAACGCCGGCTCCCCGGTTGAGATTGATCCCAGATCCGGAGTGTTTGGTCAATATCTGCAGCCGATCCCAAATCCTTGGGCAGTTCTGGTCCCCGATCCCGGTGGATCCCGGTGCTGGATCCCCGATCCCGGTGCTGGATCCCTGATCCCGGTGCTGGATCCCCAATCCCGGTGCTGGATCCCCGATCCCGGTGCTGGATCCCCGATCCCGGTGCTGGATCCCTGATCCCGGTGCTGGATCCCCGATCCCGGTGCTGGATCCCCGATCCCGGTGCTGGATCCCCGATCCCGGTGCTGGATCCCCGATCCCGCCGGCCCCCGGCGCTCCGGAGGATTCCAGATCCGGGCTCGGATCCCGGGTCTTGGAGCGGTTCCGGTGCCCGATCCCGGTCCGGCGTCACCGCGATCCGCTGTCACCGCTGTCACCGCTGTCACCGCTGTCACCGCCCGCTGTCACCGGCCCCGAGCCCCGCGCCGCCCCCTCGGCTGCGCTGTCCCGGGGCTGTCCCGGTTGTGCCGTCCTGGTGCCGCTCCCGGCTCTGTTATCCCGGTCCTGGCTCAGTTATCCCGGTCCTGGCTCGGTTATCCCTGTCCTGGCTCGGTTATCCCGGTCCCGGCGGAGCTGTCCCGGTGCTGTCCCGGTCCCAGTGGCGCGGTCCCGGCGGTGCCGTGCCGGTCCCGCTCCCGTCCCGGTGCCGGCACTGCTGTCCCGGTGCTGTCCCGGTGCTGTCGGGGCTGTCCCGGTTGTGCCGTCCTGGTGCCGCTCCCGGCTCTGTTATCCCGGTCCCGGCTCTGTTATCCCGGTCCTGGCTCGGTTATCCCGGTCCCGGCTCGGTTATCCCTGTCCCGGCTCTGTTATCCCGGTTCTGTCCCGGTCCCGGAGATGTTGTCCCGGTGCCGGCGGAGCTGTCCCGGTGCTGTCCCGGAGCTGTCCCGGTGCTGTCCCGGTAGGGCTCTCCCGGTGCTGTCCCGGTGCCGTGCCGAGCCGTGCCGTGCCGTGCCGTGCCGGTGCCGCCCCGCCGCGCGTCCCCGTCCCGCCCCGCGGTGCCCCGGACCGGTTCCGCCGGTCGGGCCGGGCCGCGCCGCAGCCGGAGCCGGTCCGGCCCGGGGGGGACACGGGGGGGGGACACTGGGGGGACACCGGGGGACATTTTGGGGACACTGGGGGTGACACGGGTCCCGTAGGGCCCCGGGGGGGGGCTCCGTGAGCCCCCCAAGCCGCCTGCGGGCAACTCCGCGCCCCATGACGTCACTCTCTATACAACGTGACGTCACCCACCCCGGCTGCGACATCAGGCGGAAGCCCGGGGGGGGGGGGGGGGAGGGGAGCCCTGTGACGTCACACCCCCCCCCGCCGCTTCCCGCGGGCACGGCGGGGGGCGTGACGTCACGGAGGGGGGCGGGCTTTGACGTCAGGCGCTCCCGGCAGCCCCCGCGCGCGGCCATGGCGGGGGGGGGTCCCTGGGTGTGATTTGGGGTCCCTTGATGGGAATTTGGGGTCCCTGCGGATGATTTGGGGTCCCTGGGTGTAATTCGAGGTCCCTTGAAGGGAATTTTGGGTCCCTTGATGGGAATTTGGGGTCCCTGTGGATGATTTGGGGTCCCTTGATGGGAATTGTCGGTCCCTGTGGATGATTTGGGATCTTTGGGTGTAATTCGGGGTCACTTGATGGGAATTTGGGGTCCCCGTGGGTGATTTGGGGTCCCTGGGTGTAATTCGAGGTCCCTTGAAGGGAATTTTGGGTCCCTTGATGGGAATTTGGTCTCGGGACGTCCCTCTGGGGGGATCTGGGGGGGTCCCAGGATATTGGGGAGGGGTCTCAGACACCCCCCGGCCCCGAACTACATCTCCCATCATCCCTTGCGCCTCCCACTTCCGCCATCTTGATTTCCTCCATGGAGCCCGCGCCGCTTCCGGCGCGCGGTGACGTCACTTCCGTCTCCCCCAATTCCCCCCTCAGCAATGGCGGTTCGGGTCCGGGTCCCCCCCGGGGCCGCCCCGGAGCCGCTCGCGGTCCAGCTCCTGCCCTGCCGCGTGCAGCACGACGGGCCCGCGCCCGTGGCCGCCTTCCTGCGCGCCCGGCCCGGCCCCGGGGTTTTTGGGGGTCCCGGGTGGGTTTTTGGGGGTCCCGAGGAGGTGTTTGGGGGTCCCAGGTGGGTTTGGGGGTTCCGGATGAGTTTTGGGAATCCCGGGGAGGTTTGAGGGTCCCGGTCGGGTTTTGGGGGTCCCTGACAGGTTTGGGGTTCTCGGGGAGATTTGGGGGTCTTGAGGAGGTTTGGGGGTCTCGGGCAGGTTTTGGGGATCCCGGGTGGGTTTTGGGGGTCCCGGGCGGGTTTTGGGGTCCCGGGCAGGTTTTGGGGTCCCAGGTGGGTTTGGGGGCGCCGCCTGGGGGGCCGGGAGCTGCCGCTGCCCCCCGGCTACAGCGGGGTGCTGCTGAGGGGGGGCCAGCCCGGGGAGCCCCCCCTGGGCGAGCCCGGGGACCCCCAGGTGAGGAGAGAGACCCCCAGGGACCCCCGGGGGGCAGAGACCCCCAGAGACCCCCAGGGGGGTCTCAGTCCCCCCCTTTCCCCCTCCTGGGGGGTCCCAGCCCCCCCTTGTCCCATCTCGGGGGTCCCAGCCCCATTTTCCCTTCTCTGGGGGGGGGTCTCACCCCCCATTTCCCTCCCCCGGGGGGTCCCAGCCCCGTGCCCCCTGACCTTTGCCCTCTGCCCTCTGCCCAGGCCGGGGGGGTGACGGTGGCCGGGACCTTCGGGGCCATCACGGACTGGGGGGGGGACAGCGCCCCCCCCCCGGGGGGGGGCCTGGCC